GTAGAGGATGCAGCTTAACTTGAAAGACAAAAGGGATTCCTTTCTCACATGTTATATTTGTTTACACATCCTCCTGATAGATTTAGCCCTTCATTAATAAAGAAGAAAAAAGGGAAATGAGGATAGTAATTTCTGTATTTGTTTTAGTACGTGTTATGATGGTTTCTTTAATTTGTGTCGTAGTTGTTTCTGCACTTGTCATTAAGGTATTAGTTGTTTCTGTACTTGTAATTAAGATTTCTGAACTTATGAGTTGTAATTTGTGGAATTGAAAATCAACAATGTTTTAGATTAAATTTCTAAACTTTTGATTAAATTTAAAAATTTGATTACATTTAAAGATCATTGACAAAGACTACAACAAATTATACAATCGTTCATTGTTAAGAAAGCACAACAGACCAATTTCACAACACAATATAAAAGACTACAACATGGATGTTAACCAATACCAATAACATAAACACGCCAAGAAAGCATCATTATTAATCTTTATGAACTAGGGCCAACAACATTAGGACAACGGGTGCGACTATGGTTTTCGTCTCGACATAGACTATAGCATGGTGCTCGCCTCATTTGTCTCATATCTATTTCATTAATAAAACGAGTTGATTTAGGACGTCCTTTCAAAGTACGCTTTAAGGCCGGGTTAGGACAGAGCTTGGGACCTCAGTATTTGTGCCATTTTAATTCATTCCCTACAACTCCAAATTCTATTTTGTAAACTTTGCATACTTGATTGATGGTATAGACTTCATTCACATAAACACGCTAATCAATATTTTGACTACAACAAGCAGCAATTACGTGGCGACATGGATATCGATCAGTTTGCAAGTTTCCACAGTCATAATAACTTTGTCTCAAATGAACTCAATATTCTTTGTTTGTTGGATAAATCCTGAACATGAAAAGCCTCATTGCGTCTGTCAAACTGCGTGACACGAAGGTTTCTTGAGCCATGCTCGTTTGGTTGAAGATGACTTGTAATATTTTTGGAGAACAAATGTCCAGCATTCTTCCTTGCATATGCCTCGCTTCCCTTACGTGCAAATAACTGTGCCAGTAGGAAGTAAGTGGCTTTTGTAAGTGCTGTGATAGGCAAATTGCGGGTACCTTTTAAAACAGAATTAATGCATTCAACGAGATTCGTCCTCATATGACGCCATCGATGTCCGCCATCAAATGCTAAAACACACTTTTCTCTTGGTATTTCACTAAGCCAATCTTCATAAACTTGTCCACGCTCCCGTAATCGTTGATAATGAATATTAAATTCATGCTCGGCTCTTGAGTAACCTGTAAATAACAAAATCAAATTTCATTAGCCTAGAAAAGGTCATCTAGTAATATATTAATAGCATTATTTAAAATACAAAAATCAAGTTTATTACCCATCCGAACAATAAGTTTATGCAAGTTGGGAGCCTTGAATCTACGCAAGAAATTTGCAGCAATGTGCCTGATACAATACATGTGGAATGCTCTTGGAGGTTCCCACTGGCCATTACTTCTTCTGATTGCTGCTATAATTGACTCTTGACGATCAGAAATCAACCCAACGCCATCTTTAGTAATGACATATTTTTGTAAATTTTCTAGGAAAAAACTCCAAGCATCTGCTATCTCACCCTCAACAACAACAAATGCAATCGACAGTATATTCTAATTTTCATCTTTTGCAACAGCAACTAGTAGAACTCCCTTGTATTTTTCATATAAATGTGTCCCATCAACCTGCACAAGTGACTTGCAATGGCAGAATGCTCTAATGCAGGGACCAAAAGTTCAAAACACTTGTTGAAATATTTGAACATTAGGAACCAATTCATCATTGCGATAAGCCTATACAGCATCTAATTTCACAATAGAACCTTGATCAGCATCACACATTGCTATGCACCATTGCGGCAAAGCTTCAAATGAGGCTTCCCACTTACCAAATACATTTTCAATTGCCTTTTGTTTTGCCAACTACGCTTTTTGATAACTTATCGTATACCCAAAGTGAGACTGAATTTCCCTAATTACTACTTTGATTTTAAAAGAAGGATCAGATTCTACCATTAGCTTTATACATTTTGTAATTATGTCTGTATCCAACTTTCTATGATCTTGAGAAATGATTCCACCAGTACAGGTGTGTGGACCATTGTATTTTTGGATTTTCCAAAAATACTCGTTCTTCCTGAAACTATATTGGAGAAGCCACCTACAATCTAAGCCATACCATATACATTTACAATAAAATATATTTGATTCTGACTTGAACACTTTGTAGTCTACTCCTTTTGATATACTATAATGCTTTACGGCTTTTATATTATAACAACTTCTTTGTTACTGAATTGCTTTCCAATATACAATTCACAATCTCTCTCTGTTACCTATCAATAGCGAACATAAACTAATTAACATAAATGTAATTAATCACACTAACATAACTTTAAATATCACATACCTAAATTTGCATACTCTGAAAACTCAGTAGCATTCATAGCACCAAGATCTAATTCATGCATGAAAGGTGACTCCCCAAAAGGATGTTGCCCACCCATATGAGACTCTTCTTCATCATTATCATTGTCAATATCCTCATCGTTGTCTTCGCCACTTCTATATTCTTCTTCAAATTTATACTCATCACTTTCGCTATTGTCGAGTTTCCATTCTATCTCTGTCTCTACCATTGTGCTCAGAAATTCTGCTTCAACCTCTATATTTTTGAAAACAACATACAACTCAATCATACCACTTGGAGGAGGACGTTGCTGATGTATCTGAAACATTTGTTGAACACCTTCATCGTTGGTTATTTGAATTGTATGATATTGAATAAAATCGCCAAATATTGATACTGAACATTGATACATAACACTTTCTACTATTTTTGGAAACAGAACTTCACGAACGTATTGATAAAGCCAATACTTTAAATCTTCAAATGATATATTATATGGAATATTCACACATGTTGGCTTCTCACATACAAATGCCACACCTTCACTTGTATTTGATATAATCTCACCATTGAAATAAACTGCAACAACCACACTCATTTTTTCTTTTGATAAACACAAGCTATTAATCACACTCTTAGAAACAAAAGCTTTAGGGGCGACTCGTTCTGAAGGCAAATTGCAGTATTTATAATCTCATCAATCCAAAATCGCCAATGGCGTTTTATAACGTTTTCTGATATTTGTCATTAGTCAAAGGTCACCATTGACATTTTTTAAAAAGTTAAAGCAATTTCTATCAATCAAAGGTCGACATTGGTAATTTTAACCTGTCTTTCATATTTTTTCAACTTCTAAAATCTCCATTGGTGATTTTACTTTCGCAAATTTTTTTTTTTGGATTCAAAATTGCGATTGGCGTTTTTATATTATAACTAACTTCCTGAAAATTAAAATCGTCAGCGTTTTTATACATTCACCATATTTTCGTCATTTTATAAAAAATCTCGTATTTTAGTAATTTCTTAAAAAAAAACCCATATTAAAAAAAATGACCCTATCTTTTTACTATATAACATTTCTTACATGCTGTAAATTTTATTGGATACGTTATGCATATTGTACATGCACTAAACATATTTTCGTACCTAAACGATTTAATGGCAAAAACACATGACGATAAAACTATTTTAGCTAACAATGCTTCTTCTTTTTTATCAAATTTTCACTAATTTAGGCGTTGAAATGTTTCATGCAAAAACACCACCATTTAGATATTGTTAGGACACCTTGAGCCTCCCTGTTCAGTCTCTTTCACCACCTAGTACCAGCAACTCGAACCACTCTCATCACTCTGGTACGCACCACAATAGCAAGCAAGAAGCACAGAAAATGGAACCTAGCCTACAGTAGAGAAAAGTGCACCTTTTTTTCTGGACATTATTGTAGCGAATTCCGTGTTTAAATCACAAAAAAGGTTTCTACTTTGAACCAACATGTTATTTTTATCTCTTTCTGCGTTTATTAATGAAAAAGTTAAAAATTAACCCTTGAAATTTTGTTATTTTGGCGTAGCTACTGTGACCATGACAGTCAAGTAGAAAAAAGTGTACACACACGAAAATGACTTCACCATGGTAACCAAGAGTGCTACAAGTGTATGTAGTGTGTACATGACAGAGTTAATCATGGTTACATGAAAACTGAAGTATACCTAACAATTAACTGATCAACAATTGACATTTATAACTTGGGTCACTTTGCACAAGTAGTACTAAAACATAGATTTTCAAAGTAAATGCGAAGAAGTTTATGAGACACTCCCTGATCATTCAGAATTAAGAAACACAGGCAAGGAAAACAAACGATAATATATAGCTGCTGTAAAGAAAGTAGTATATTTGGGTAGAGATAACGTTTAGAGTTAGGCCTACATTAAATAAATATCTTGATAAATACTTATATGAGAAGAAAATAAGAATAGAAGAGGAATTTTATATAATCTAAATTTAATTTATTTAGCTTAAAGTTTTGAAAAAGTTAGATAAAAATAACTGAGGTACATAAATTGATTTTAACTTGTGAAAAAAGTTTTACGAAATTTATCCAAAGTGAGCCTTAATCTTGTACATTTCCCACATTTTTTGTTTTTCTAAATGCTGCAATGTTGCATGTCAAGTTCTACACACCAAATAGTGAAATCAAGTTGTTGAAACGTGTATGGTGACACGAATTAGTTACGCCCTGAATCTAATATCTCAAATTCTAATCCTAGTAATATCCTTACAATGTGTTAATCCTCTTACTTCAAAATCTATATTAAATCCACTTCTCAGCATGGTTCAGTTTAGTTGAAAAATTAAGCAACACAGAACATTATTATCTTATTTGATAAATCTACATCTCCTGAGTGCAACCGTTTAATTTGGCTGGTTTAAATGTCAAAGTTTGATATGGTAGTGTGGCACACTTATAGGCAGGGAACAGATTTCGCTTAATTTACCTCTGATACTGTAAACAATACCAATAATGCATACACTGTAATGGAATGGAGTATCGTTGATGTAGTCAAATATAGTAACAAACAATCTTTGCTCACAAAAACAAAAAAAAAGTAAAAAAGCAACAACACAACATTATTTGGACTAAAAATTGAGATAATGGATACCCTCAACCAAATCATAGTCCATTAAAAACAGAGCCAGTATTTTCTTGCTCGCAACAAAATAGTTATTTTGGAAGAAAATCATGGTAACAAGCTATGAATCCTACCTCTAAAATTGGTTCTACTTTGAAGCTGAAGCTTTGAAAAAGGCAAACAATTCATCTCTAGGAGGCAGGCCTTCCTTGATCACAGGGTGATTGACAAATTCTTGACTCCATTTACACAGCTTCGGAAATTTCTCAATGGTAAGCAACTCCAAACCTGCAATTTCTTGCAATAAAACAACCCAATACCCAATGAAATTAGCAGCAATATCTACCAGTCCTATGGTCTCTCCTCCAAAGAACCTCTTTTCCTTCAGTGCATCCTGCAGGATGTTCAAAGCTTCCAAGGCTTCCTCCACAGCTTTCTCACGCCCCTTCTCATCACTCCAACAAGCATTCCATATAGCAGGTAGGATCTGAAACCAAACAAAAAATTAAAAGGAAAAATAAAACATCTTAAGAATTCTAATCTCAATAGAGTCAAAACAAGTGAAACATCAAATTAGTTCATGAAATAAATTAGGATCAATCTGGCCCTCTAATACTACAAGAAAACAAACTTTGACAATCATAAATTAATTTAGTCCTTAATATCACATTAAGGGTCAATTCAATTCCTAACTATATTAAATAAATTAAAGTAGTTCCTAAATTGAAGAAGTAAATTGACATCAAAGTCAAAGATTTTTTTTTCTTCTAATATTAAAAATTAATTTGAGGGGATTCTAATTCCCTGAACTTACATGTTAGTTCAACAAAATTGTGGAACAGAAAATAAAGACACTAACTAACCTTGTCATCTAGGGTCTTGCACCAAAAACGAGCCAAGGCTCTCTCATAAGGGTCTTGAGGCAAAAGCGGGTTATTTTTCCATGTCTCGTCTATGTATTCAAGAATGACAAGGGACTCTGCAATTGGGTTTCCGTTGTGGACCAGAACTGGCACTTTCTTGTAAACGGGGTTGTACTTGAGAAGATCAGCACTTTTGTTGGCTAAATCTTCCTCTGAGTATTTGTATGGAACTCCTTTGAGTTTGAGGGTGAGGTCTACTCTGTTGCTAAATGGGCTGGCCCATTTGCCCAATAGCCTCACTTCTTCATGCTCTGAAGCCATTGAATTGGTAGCACTTAGTTCAAGCTCAGAACTGAATTGGATAGAAAATTATGGTGATTGTTAGGGTCTGGTTTGTGAGTTTGATCTTTATAGGGCACAAGGATTGGTCTCTACATACACACCGAGTTGCAATTTGGAGTTGTTTTGTTCTTAGTTGCGATGATTTTGGTCAACTTCGACGGACTGCTGTTTGGTGGAACTGCGGGGTAGGTGGCTTCCTCCAATTATAAGTAGAATTACTTATTTTTCTGTATTGAAAACTGGAAAGAGGGCATTTGAAAAATAAATAAATAGTTTTTATTTTTATTTGTAATTATAATTTAATAGATTAATTGATCGTAAATAAATGATAATGTAATAAAAAAATTTAAAAATAAATATAGGTAAAATATTTATAATAAATATTTTATACAAATAATTATATAATAAAATATGATATACATTAGCAAAAAATAAAATATGGTACACAATTTGATACTTTTAGGAGAGAAAGTGTATCAGTGGAAAGAAATTGTATGTATATATAATTAAATACTTTTAAAACATTTCACGCTGATATCCAATCATGAATTTGTTATATAACTAAGAATTATTAATTTTTATAGTAATTAATATACAAAATATATTTATAATTGATTGTATAAAATATTTATATTAATAATACATTAAAATTAAGCTCTCTCTTATAGACACATATATAGATGATTTTTTTAATTAATTTTTATCAATTTTTTATTAGTTTAATTTTAAATTTTAAAATTTTCATAATGTATATCAACATACATACAGTAATTAAAAAAAATACATAATTTATCATCTCATATTATTTTAAGATATGATATGCTACTTAAAATTTAAGTAAATAATTGTTATCAAATTATATGTATCCAAATATCTAAATTGTTAAAATTAATAAAATTTATTAAAAATATTATTTTACCAAGTTTGACACTTAATTAAGATCTGTTAATACTTAGATATCAAACTTATATTTTTTAATAAGTTTTTTTAAATATAAAATTGACCAATTCAACTATTAAATCATCTTATATTATCTTTATGCATTTATATTTTTTAAAATTTGATATTTACTTATATTTTAAAAACATAATATTTATTAAAATAAATTAATGTTATGAAATATTTATTAATTTTATTTTTATATAAAATTTTATAAAATTAATATATTTGACAAGAGTTTTCAAACCAATAATCAATTATTGATTAATTTTTATTATTAAGTAGTGTAAATGTCTATGTTTAATAAAAAAATTAATAATAAATTTTAATTTATATATATAATAAATGTTAATGATGATTTAGTATATATTCTATAAGTTCAATCTGTGGTTTCTTAACTTCATTTATAATATTTTACTTTGAATGATTTATAATTTTAAATTTAATTCTAATTCTAATTTTGTTGCATAAATTATTTTTATTTTTAAAATTATGTAAATAATTTTTTTGTCAATGAAAAAGAATAAATTAAGAAAAATAATTAAATCTCATAAAAATAACTTATAATATCAAATTATATAGAAAAAATTAGTATTTTCATCTTCTAATTTAAAGGACAAATTTAATTTCATCTTTTATCTTTATTTAGATTCATTTAGCTTTCTAATTTTTAAAATATTTTAAATAGATTATTTCTATTAAAAATGTTAACTTTATTAATATTTTTTTTTTCTGTCATATGATATGCATTATTCATCGTCTGCACACTATTTATTTTCTTTATTATATCTCTTATTTTACTTTACTTTTCTATGTTTTTTCTTTTTTTTCTCCTTTATTTTCCTCTTCAAAACCTCTCACAATAGGAGGGGTAGATGCAAAGGTTGTCACCTTAAAGCACCATAATGATCCTAAGAAAAAAATTATTATTTTCATTAGTACAACGTTATTGGTCCACAAACTTAAAAGCAAAATAAAGTTTGAGGTAACAGAGGAAGAAGAATGGTATAGTGACACCAAGTGAGGAGGAAGTGGCAATGGAAGTAACCTGACATTGACTGAGGTTGGTGAAGCGGACGTGGAGTGTTTTTTGAGAAAAGGAGATAGGGAATAAGATAAAGATGAAAAAAATTTAAAACCTTAAGAAGAAGACAATGAATAATCCATGACATAAAACAGAGAAAAATATAAAATATCAATAGAATTAAATTGAATTTGATTTTTAAGTTGAAAAACAAAAATATTAATTTTATTTAAATTATAAGTTTTTGATCATTTACTTAGCTATAAGTTGAGTCACTTTTGAAACTTATCTTTACAAAACGAATAATGTGTCAAACTAAACATTCTAAGATGAATTTAAGAGTTGTTATGCAATTAGTTTCCTTTATTTTCTTACTTAAAAAAATTATTTTACCTAAAATTTTATGTTCTTATTTTTAATTTAAAAGATTCATAAATTAAACTTATTTAATTATTTCAAACATTTTTCAATTAAAAATTCATTCCCGACCTAGTGTTCTTAGGAGGTGTTGGAATGACCGACACCTTCTTAGTATATGAGTATATGTTTAGGAAATTAGGTATAAAGCTCTCCTTTGATGACTTTCAGATGGGAGTGTTGAAGGTTTTAAATGTAGTGCCGACACAACTTCATCCGAATGGGTGGGCGACTATATAAGCCTTTAGACTCTTATGTAAATTTCATTACATAGAATCTAGTGTAGGTTTATTTCTTCATTTCTTTTATACTCGTCCTTCAGATTAAGTAAGGTGGGTATCCTTAATAAGGCAACCTGAATTGCCATTATTCAAGCCTTATGCTTCGTCTTTCAAAGGTTTCAAGACCGGTTACTTCAAGGTAACCGTGCACACTGTAGGTAGAAATTATTTTTTTGATAGCAAAGGTAACACGCTTTTTCCCTTCCACTGGACTCGGGTACCTCGTCGGTATGACGTTTTATCCAAGGACATGTTATCAGCTATCGAGGTGTCGGCCTTGGAATACTTGAAGTCTCTTCCCAGAGAGCTTTCTGCCTGAGCCCTCATTCTCTTACAAAAGTCCCCTCATCCACGTCTGGACATGGATGGTATGGTTCATTTTTATAGTCTATTTTCTTTTAATCAAATTGTATTGATTTGACTCTATGTTTTTGTTGTAGGTTTAATGGCTCAGAAAAGGGTAAACATACCGACCTACCATCATGGTCTAAGAAGGCAGACTCCAGATGATACACCAATTGAAGAGCACCAACCCCCTTCTTGACCATGATCCTGAGGTAATCGAGCCTCGTCCTTCACTCCAAGATCTTGTCCTTACAGAAGGGCAACCGAAGAAGCGAAAGGAGAAGGACAAGGAGAAAGAAGGGGAGAAGGAGAAGAAATGGAAACACTCCTAGTCGGTCTAGCTGACTAGTGCTGATGGGGCACGAAAACAAGCCCGAGTTGCTGGAATTGTTGGAGCCAGTAGCTCTTCAAACTCCATGATTCCCCTAGCGGTTCTATCCGACTCCTTCCTAGCCGACGGGGTTCGGGCTGGAAGAGTGGTTGCCCCCAATCTAGTCTTTGATTCAGGCAGGGACGTTGTCAACAATTTAAACCACAAGTCTTTGTGGCAATGCTACGCCGAGCTTCAAGCCTGAGCCATGGTGATGCTCTGAAGGTTGGCGTTGGAGCCCATGCTGGAGTTGGAGAAGTTTCAAAGGGCTAAGCAAGAGAGTGAAGAGATCCAAGCTGTGACACCCTTACTACTTATTATGCCATCAATATAAATATAATATTAAAATAATCCAAGCAGTAAGAAAGCCACATGTATGAGTTTACATTTGTTCACATTAATAGAAACTAAATACACCATCTGCATCAGTTATCCAAATACGTATATAGCAATCATCTGTCAAAATATACAGTCATGTAGTCATATAAACATATACACATAGCTGATTTACATACAAAATAAAGTGGGGTCACAATATCAGAGACAACAATAACAAAAATGACCTCATAAGCTTTCCCCTTAGACCCATGAGTATCAAAAATACCATTTCCTCCAAAAGTTAATAGTACTCTAGGAGTAAATGGAAAAGTGAGTCTCATGGGTACCCTGATGGGGATGGGGTATGCCCGTGGGCCTGGCCCATTTCTATCTAACAAAAAGGTAATAGTGCCAGTATGGGTGAACTGTTGTCGTTCCCAATCGTACGCCCATCTTCCTTCAGGATCATATCTGACTGTGACGCTGAACTGGTATGGTGGTCGGGCCATTTGTGTCCTCACCTACTAAACATATTCACATACCACACACATAGCAACTAAAAGGGTGAGACAAACCCATTTCAACCAAAGTACAGTAGAAAACATGTCAAGATATTTACAATCATTATAGCAATTAGCAACAACTCAACACACAATGTACATGCCATGTATGATTCTGTGCATCACCTAGTTAATTGCTATACTGACACATGCATGTGGGCCTAAACCATTTTCTTTTTCTTTTTCTCTTTCTTTCTTTCTGGGAAGGATCAGGAGTTCACTGTCACCAATCATTCTTGGTCATAACCATCTTATTAGATAGTTTCAAAGATATAGCTCAACTGATTTTGAGAATCCATCAGGTTCTGTCAGGATAGTCCAGTTTTGCAGTGAGAACCGACAGCACAGGGTTGCGAGCCCTGGCCTTTGCCCAGCTCAATCACACCCGACTATCCTCAAGACTAACCTGGAGTCTCCCCTAGATTTCGTATACTTCCCATCCAACGCCACCATCATTACATGTTTATGATGCATGAACCTAATTTCAGTCTTTTAATTAGGTATTAAACATTTCTTTTCAATCAATAACAACATATGTTTCAAAATTTCACCGACAATCTGGTAGAGTTTCCTCTATAATTTAGATAATTCCAAATTTTCTTCTCTCTGCAAAACAGCCAGAAAATTCCAATATACTTCTAATTTTAAACAGAGTCTCACCACCACCACATTTCACAACTTTTCTTTCATTTCAATGGCTCTTAAATACCTTTTTTCCAATTATCACCACATTTCAAAATACCTATTTAAAATAATACTTTAAAATGAATTAAAATCCTTTAAATTATATAAATATGTATATAGGTATATTTTAAATATATAAAAACTATTAAATAAATTTTGATCAAACCACTTGAAATTAAAGAAGATTTTTTTTAATATCTTTATTTCGCAATTCTCCAATTCTTTTCAACTTTCAA